TTGATACCCTAGGACTAGAAACACTATGGCTAAGACGCCTGAGACTAAACTTGACACTTTACTATAAGCTTCTAAACCACTTAGTTTTTACCTCTACTAATGGCACTCGACTTTCAGATGACAATGGCTACAAACTAAGACACACTAAGGGTACAGTAGCTATCGAACAATGTAAAACAGTCACCAGGCAAAGGTTTTACTTGATTAGGTATGCACAGATATGGAATAAACTACCAATGGAAATGCATCAAGCAAGTACATTGGCCTCCTTCAAAAAGGTGCTTAATGACAAACTACAAGAGTTTGCAAACGATAGTAGTTCTAGTTCCTACCTGAGAGCTTCCGAAATCATAGGTCCATTTAATGTATAAGCTTAAATACTACACCTGTTGTTTTTTGCCTATATTTATAATTCTAGATAAAACATTAACGGTTAAGATACGTATCCTCAAACAGACAAGAAATCTCGTTTGTAAAACTACTACCCAACACAATAAGTGGAATAAAATGGACATAAACCGACAACATGAAAAAGGTATAACTCACCACAACATCACATGGACAGATGTACGCTCGTTGGGCACCATATATCCCACACCAACTGCAACCCACATTTCCTTAGATAATGTGATGAACTTATATCCATAATGTTGCTGAGCAGTTAATATTCTCAATTCCTGTCGGAACAGCTGAAATTCATAAACCTTCCTCACGCTAAGAAAATACCCACAAGCAGTAGAAATCCATTAATTAATGCGTCTGAAGCTTATGTATTTACTCCCAACAATGACATTGCAGATCAAATGAGATAAACATATCACCGATTTCAAAATAACACATCAATGAACTATAATTCAAGGATTCTGCACACAACGAAGTTATGTATGCAAATTGACTTCAAGCTTTATTTTTTTCCCAGGCACTTATAATCCATCCACCAAAGACCTGGTTTTTTGTTAATGCGAAGACAATATTTCTGTATTTCCTGATGTGTTGCACTCACTGACAATCTAGCAGATTTTTCCAACTGTGCACAGAAATGATTGTATATAAGTGAAAAGGCTGTTTTATACTACTGGGATTAACATTTATCAAGTGTATGTATAATCTCCAGCGAACATGTAAAGCATATCTTGCTACTGCCTGTAAATTGTGATTGAATTATATGTTTCTATTTCTGTAACAATTTGATGATGCCTGTAAACTGGCGTCCCTCATGTACTGTACTATGAGAATAAATTTATTTATTTATAAGCATATACAGGAGCGAAGGAGGTTAGTTTTCCAAAATAACCTCTACTTCCTTTAGAGGAACAGAACAAAATCCACAAAAACTTTTCAGGTTCAGAATGTCAAGTGTTTTGTGTTTCCTTATTTTTGCGAAGCAAAGTGTTATGGCCTCATAAAAAACATTACATTACCATTTTGGCAGAATTATTGAAGTAACAATCATGCTTTCCTAACTAGAATAGCTGAGGTGATTAAAGTTTAAATATTTCATTCATTTAACAGTCTCACGGTTAAACTGTGCGTTATCTGTTGGGAAATTAACGTATATGCTCATCCTAATGGACTCCGAAAAGACAGGAATAAGTACTACAGCACAACAGCAAAATTTGTTTCTGCGTTCTCTGTGTACCGGTGTAAAACGAAACTACCTAATATAAGGCGTAGTAAGTTAGGCGGTGTTCCAGTGTTTAAACTGTATGCTTGTCTAATTTTAGGTTGACCACCTAGCTTGAAAGGATTGGTCGCCCAATACGACGCGACGGATGACCAATAGGAAAACCCTTCCTCTCTCGCCTAATTGTATTATGATTGGTTGTACATACAGTCTTGATATTGAACCTTCGTTCTACAAGCATGCGACAATCTTGTGACCGCCATGTTGACGTGCGCTTCGCTCTATCTTTCACATCATTACCTGATGGGTGGCATTGCACTTTTAGAGGTAGGTAATTACCCAGAAATTACTGGTCACTACATTCATCGCTGAACATCGGATGCTTACCCTCACTGTTCTAGTCTATTTGTTTAACTGAGGGCCCGGTCAATCATCCACACCATTTAGCACGCCGTCGTATTACGTTCGTTCGTTCGTGAGCAATCCCTAGCTAGTTAAGCAATCATCTCGCACTCCTATTTGGTCTAAGGGATATTTGGTTACTTGTGCATTATTGGAAATGCTAATTTCTAGGTTCATGGGATTGCCTTCTAAGTAGGCCGGCCTCAGACGGTCAATGCTAACGGTGTCTTCGCGGCCAATTTTGTCTAAGACAAAGAATGTATCCATACGTTTAATGACTTTATGTGTTCCATCATATGGGGGTTCCAGAGGGCAACGCACAGATTCACGACGAACAAATACATGTGAAGAAGTTTTCAAATACGGGTGAACAAAGACGTCTATTCAAGAACTTCATACAACTTGTTCCCTTGATATATTTCGATAAAGAAAGGAAGACGAAATTTGCAGTATAAAATGATATCATTCTATTTCACAGGTTCTCATTAGCTGCAGACTACTTTAATGTTTGAGTAGTCTGCAAATTTCGTCTTCCTTTCTTTATCGAAAGACGTCTATGGACTGTGATCGAAGGGGAGCAGATCTAACTGGACTCATTGCGTTTGCAAGCCTGCTGACGTATGAGGCATGATCTACTGCTGGTGGGAAGGTAGAGGGAGAAACAAACTCACCTGGCAGTCGCAGTGTTGTGCCATGAACAAGCTCGGCGGTAGCACAATCAGCATCAGATTTCAAGGCGTTTCGTATCCCTAGGAGAACTAACGGTTGTGATTCAGTCCAATGTGCATTGTTTGCAGCTGATAACCCAGCCTTCAACTGTCGGTGTAGATGTTCTACCATACCATTAGCTTGAGGATGGTAGGCTGTTGTTCGAAAACGCATACAAGGCAAGGATTTTAGTTAGAGCGAAGAATAAGCCGCTTTCGAATTGCCACCAACGATCAGTTGTTATGGAAGATGGGCATCCAAAGTTTGCGATCCATCTTTCTACAAAGACGCGTGCGACAGTTTCAGCAGGTATATCCTTAAGGGGTACTGCCTCAGGCCATCGGATGAAGCGATCGATGAAGGTCAACATATAGGTATATCCATGAGATTCTGGAAGGGGGTCAACTAAATCTATATGGACGTGTTCAAAACGGGCATCGGGGATAAGAAAGGTGCCAAGGGAGCTTTTGGTGTGTCTTATTACCTTGCACTTTTGGCAGTCTAATCACGTCTGTGCCCATTCCCTTACTTCCTTGTTAATACCAGGCCAACAAAACCTGCTAGTTACGAGCTTGACGGTAGTTCGAATACCTGGGTATGATAAGCCATGCAACGTATTGAAGACGTTACGGCGATAACTTTTAGGCACGATGGGGCGAGGAGTACCAGTGGAAATGTCGCAGAGAATAGTACCTTTTCCTATACCTAAGGGTTTTTCGGCTAATTGTAGAGTTGTTTTCGACAACTCATGCTGATGCTTGGTATCTTCTTTTTGAAGACGAGCCAGTTTTACAAGGTCTATGCCGTCGATTTGGGTGAAGGAACAAATACGTGATAAGGCATCTGACACAGGGTTGTTTACTCTGAATACATGGCGAATATCCTATTTAAACTATGAAACGTAATCCAGTTGGTGTGATTCTCTAGGTGAATACTTATCTGAAGTTGAGTTCAGAGAGTACGTCAGAGGTGTGTGGTCATCGAAAATTATACATTGGAGACCCTCCACTGAATGTCGAAAATAACGTATAGCACAGTACATAGTTAGAAGTTCTCTTCTAAATGTGCTGTACTTTGTTTCAGCTAATTGAAGGCGCCTCGAGAAAATGGCAAGTGGTCGCCACTCTTTGTAAACTAGTTGTTGCAGAACTGCGCCGATTGCAGTGTCTGATGCATCAACTGAGATACTTAACGGTGTCGTTGGATCCTGATACATAAGAAGGGTGGCATCCGTAATAGCTTTCTTTACCTGAGTAAAAGCATGTCGAGAAGACGCGTCGAGTTCGATAGACTTGTTATTCCCTCGAAGGAGATCTGTTAATGGCTGAACCAGAGAGGCACAGTTGGAAATAAACCGTCGGTAATAATTTATTAAGCCGTTAAAAGTGCGAAGACTTTTCACTGTCTGTGGTTCTGGAAAGTTTAGTATCGCCTAAACTTTATTAGCCAGTGGGCGAATGCCCTTGCAGTCAATGGTGTGGCCCAGAAGGTCGAGTGAGTCAACGCCTATCTGATACTTCTGAAAATTATTGGTAACACCACGTCGGCGTAAGCTCTCGGATGCCAATTCCAAGTGTCTAAGGCGATGAGGCAGTCGTCTAAGGACGCGTGTACGAAGTCGGGACCGCAAAATACTTCGTCAGTGAAGGAATGGAGACCGAATGGCATACGTAGAAATTCAAAATGTCTGGAAGGCGTAATGATAATCGTTTTCGAAATATCTTCTGGTGCCACTGGAATTCGGTTATACGCTTTAACCAAGTCTATTTTCGAGAAAATAGTTGCACCAGGTAGATTTGCGGTCAAGGCGTGTATGTGAGGCAATGGATAGCAATCGGGGATTGTTTTTGCGTTCACTCGCCGGTAACCACCAGGGGGTCGCCAATCATTGCTCTTTTTTCGGTACCATTTTCAGTGGGGATGCCCATGGGCTAATCGATGGCCGAATGATGCCAAGGGTGAGCATACGGTCAAACTCATTTCTAGGTAGTCGTAGTTTGTCAGGAGCAAGTCGTCGTGCCTTAGATGTCATGGGTTGTCCCGAGGTTATGATGTGGTGCGTAACATTGCTGATTATGCACGGTAGATCGTTAGGCGATCATTTAAGTTCTGGGCACTTGTCAGCAATCGGCTGGAATGTTGGATCAAAGATTGCCCTCTTCTTATCGAGTGACAAGTTATGGCCTACGTAGGTGATGCCTCTTAAGAACACTCTAGGAGAACTGTCTGGCAGTCGTCTTCGGTGGACGTCTAGGAGTAAATCATGATGATTAAGTAGGTCTGTGCCAATGGTGGGCATTATGACGTCAGTGGGAAGGAAAATTCACTGAATAGATTTGCATAAACCTACGTTCAGATAGGCGTATTCACTACCAAAGGTTGCAATTGGTTTTCCATTTGCAGCCTGCAGGTTGAAGGTAGGTTCCTTCTATCGATCTGCTGCTGTAGCAGGAAGGACGCTGACTTCGGCGCCTGTTTCAACTGAGTACCGAGTATGGGTGATTACATCACGAGTGTAAAGTAGGCGACTAGTGCCACCAGCGACGGATGCCGCTAACGCGTGCTGGCAGGATAGTTTCCCACAAGGTTTTCGGTAACATTTCGCTTCCTGGCCATAGGTATTGTGATACCAACACCAGTCAGGGACTTTACTGAACGTGGCTTGGATTTAGACCGACCACGTCAGCTTTGCCAATGAGGGCAGTTTGGACGACTATAGGAGGAATTACAAGGTATGTTTGACCTGAGCGGCTGCTGTGTGGAGTTGCACAACCCTATCACTTCTGTGTCCCTACTCGAAGTCTGTTTGGCAACTGAGCATATTTCAGTAACTGGCCATTTTGTTATTTCTAGAATTTTATCTGCAGAAATAGCTAAGTCGTCTAAAATAACACCTTGAAGTGTCACCAGCACAGCATCTACTGACTGTGCTAGTTTGGATAAGAAGAGTTCTCTGAAGTCCTTCATCAAATTGACGTTGACCAATGACTTTCCTCATTATTGTAGGCATGCTTACTGCTGACTGATCACCTAACTCGACTTAGCGACCCGTGAGAACGTTTCTACTTGAGAGGGTTGCTTTAAGCACCTCGTACGAGTTACTTACTTCTGGGCTCGATATCTGCACAGTTACGCATTTGCTAAATTCCCGCGATAGGGAGTGGACAATTGCAAGGAACTGTGAATGTTGATCAGTTAACCCATGTTCGCTGAAATCGGACTCAGCTATCTGAAACCGTGATTCAGCATTATCTGGCCAAAATCATACGAGCTGAATGGTTTTGGCAGTTGAGCGAATACGGATGACCTTAGGAGCATGATCACTTATGACGAAATATATACAGTTCGAAAATAGTACAAAAACAAACACAAAATAGAACGAACTCACTGGATTTGTCTGTGTATTAACCAGAGATGAAGTTCGAGGTTGGGGATATTGACGTTCACGGATAGTACGAAGTATGCTAACGCAAGACCTAATACCCGCAACTTCTATGGTATTCTTTCCGTGTAAACCAAAGGCAAAGCAGAACACCAAAATTGACCGTCCAAATTAAGAGTTATATTTCGGGACCAAATCGGAGTGCGAGATGATTGCTTAACTAGCTAGGGATTGCTCACGAATGAACGAACGTAATACGACGGCGTGCTAAATGGTGTGGATGATTGACCGGGCCCTCAGTTAAACAAATCGACTAGAACAGTGAGGGTAAGCATCCAATGTTCAGCGATGAATGCTGTGGCCAATAATTTCGGGGAATTATTCGCCGCTACATGCCTTTATGTATCTTCCAATAGAACCTCTCAATTTCTCACTTAAGTCCTGATGTCTAGGTTAAAGCAGTTTCTGTGCACAAATTGGATGAGGAAACTGTAAACCGTCGTGTTTCTTGACCCATTTAAATCTCTACCCTTCCTTTTTAGGGGACTTTCGAAACTTTCTATGGAATTCCTATGAATCCCATTGGAAGAATTAACGAAGTCGTCCGCATTACTGACTTCATTGTGAATATAGCCCATGGATGATAGTTGGCTTCACGTTTTCTTCTTTCCAATGAGCTTGTTGTATAAGTAGCACTTAAATACTGGATATAGATAGAATTTACTACGCGATTCGCGTACTGCATCAACAAATCGGAGTATACACCGCGAACTCATCTGACTGGCTTTTCAAGGTCATAAGTCCGTTCATTAGGTTGTTTCGTTTTTAGCTGTTATAGTTTAGAGTCACCTATTAAGCACTTTTTCACGATGCACAGCAATAGATAATATTCTCTGTACTCGGATGAGGATGAGAGAAGAATGAAATCAATCCATATTGTTCTGCTGTGTTTCATCCTTATTAAGAGTACATAAAACCCGGAAATTCAAGGGTTGTCGTTACACTAAAATCAGTGCTCACTGGGATTTATCATTGGTAAGTCTCCATGTGGTATGCTTCTTATTGCTGTGGTCATTCCGACCCCTTTTCGGTAAAATAAAACTAGGGGCTAAGTTAAAGTATCATAGCCAAAGCCAATATCTTTCAAAAGTTGACCTTTAAAAACCAATCAGACACATCCCAAGCCTACTGTAATGCTGAATTAAATCTCACTAATTCTGAAATAATTATAACATTCTATACTGAGTGAATTCTGAATCTGTTCTGAAATGGATTCTTTAATGGCACAGACTACAACCCAGTGCTGGTTTTCAGTATGACTGGCACTAATTCAGCACCATGTTTTTTTCTAGGCATTTTCAGGAGTAAATCAGAACCTACTGGGTTTTCTTATCAGCGTTGTTCCAGCCCTCACAGGATATATTAAGCGCGGACTAGCGTTACTTCAGAACCAAAAGACTTAATTCAGCACTCAGCTCTCTTTTTAAGCACAACCAACGTTATTTCAGAACATAGTGGGTAGATACAATCTTCATTTAAAGGCATTATCGAAGAATAGGTTAGAATAAGTTTAGAATTGTTGTAAGCTTGGGAGGGAATGCTGTGAAAGGTCATTCCAAATAAAGTCATGCATGCCCGCCTGCCTTGACTTGGAAAAGGCAAATGCAGTATTTCACTTATTCTCTAGGTACTTTTTCTGCACTTTTTCTATCTACACTGTTAGATAGGGTTATGGCTTTTTAGATTAGGGTGGAATAATAACAATCTGCTTTACTCCAAAACCACTACTTATAATACAGCATGGGATTCTCAGCATTAAAATCTGGGAGCACTGGAAAGCATTTCGTCCTAGTATGGAACTCCCCAGAAGCACGGACTCATCGAAGTTCGAACCCAAGACCTTCCGGTTACAAGTTAAGCTTGTAGGCCATTCAGCCACTGGGATTAGTGGTTAGGCTAGGTCAAGGGACAGTGTTAGACTTATCAATAGATCTCAAAGTACCATGACATACAGTCACCTGGGCAATTACATCTATCGCGTATGGTATGATTTCTCTATATGTGATCTATGTAGTGACTGGGAGAACTTCCTACAACGCATAAGTGACAACTATATAGGACAATATCATGTTTGCAATGGTTTTTAGTGCATTTTTCAATGGCTATGAGACTTCACTGAATCTAAATTCTAATTGATTTTTCAAGCTGCCTGTAGTTTTGGCTATGATAGTTTAACTTTGCCCATCAGTTATCAGCAAAGGACAAATTTTTAAGGCTAGTGCTTTGGCCAGGGCATAAGCGATGCCTTCCCCGTAGTTTTAGAGCTACGATAATGGGATTAACACACGCTCAAAAGACATTCAATGTGGCATTGTGGTTGTTGCTGCTTGAAACTGATTTCGACTAGTGGTGCACAGGACCGTCTTTGTAAGAGTGAGGTTTCATAACGTGACAATTGATGCTACAGTATTTAACCGTCAAGGGCCTATGCTAGACAAAATTACTTTCAGTACTGTTGGTTTTCTTAATGTAAAAACTTAACTAATTAAACCATTTTCTTATGGAAACGTAAACTTAAGCCAGAGTAGTTTGCTTCAGGTACTTATTAAACAGTTAATTACGGATGGTATTTAAGTCAGTAACATTTGTCAGTTTCCGTTTTCATTTACGTTTTCTACATAAATACGAGTCATGAAAATCATGAATACTTCACTTATTTATATGTCGGTTGTCGGTGTCATTATTCATTCATGAAAAATTCCCATTCGAACATTAATAGACAGAAGACCAGTAGTTCAGCGAAGAGTCTCTTTTCGTCGAATTCATTTTCATAGCTGTACAATCGCAAAATACATATGTGTTATTTTGTATATATGTGTACATTAAATTTTTCAAGCGAAAATACAATTAGTAAGTTCAGATGAATTGGATGTTGATATAAGAGGGTAGTAACAAAAGTGATGAGTTGTCACAAACGATTGTTAAAGAAGAGTTACGTAATAACATGAATAGTTTGATGAGAGGGTTGTGCTCAGGGTGTACATGGGAACAAAATAACACGGAATTACGCAAGAGTTTAAAGTAGTTGGAAAAATAAGCATACAAACAAAAGTTAAGCCAAATCAAGCAAACAAGCAAAAGTTAAGTAAAATCAACAGAGTTGTTACCATGTTAGTAGAAGTGGTTCAGTAATTTTCTTTTGAACACATTTATTTCCCGACACAAATTTAAAACAAGCGATAAAGCTTGATAAAGCAGGATTTAATGAATTCATCAAATTTTGGTAGAACTCGTCAGCTGAATACTCTACATACACGGATATATATATATATATATGTACTTCTGAAATTACATTGGGAAATATAGGACTGATAAGTAAATAAACTACACTGAATTAGTCATGCAGAAAGACAGGTACGAATGTTTTCCAGGTCATTTTGTATTTCTTTTGTATGCATAGTTCTGCTTCTCCCAACTGAATGGCTACTGTAGTGCAAAGAAGAAGGAAACGTATTGTCTTTGGCAGGTTGTTCTTCACTTTGTAGATTACTTTGAAGGAGGCGTTTGTTGAGATGGAATAACTAATGGTGACGAGATGTTCGATTATTGCACTCCTTATACAGCCACTATTTCCTTTCTGCAGCCACGCTGGATAGTATTCTTTGACACGATGCGCGTCGAACGACTGATGTACCTGGCTCCAAAGCAACACGTGAACTGATATATACACATAGAAGTGGTCAGGTGCGGAATCTTGTTCATTATTCACTGCTACACTAATTCGAATTAGACCGACGGACACCATCAACACAAGACCTAAAACCACTGCTTTTTGACCTAAGTTGCCATAATTCGTAATTGCACAATAAGTGTAAGGAGACTGATGAAGAAATTCCATGTTACAGTTGGTGTGAAGATAAGTTTGAAGTACATTCACATCATACTACTCACAGTTCAGCGATAGGTTTATTGTAGCCACGTGGACCCCAACTGCCTAATTTACGTTTTCTTTAGTTTTCATGTCGTTATCACTACAAAGTATGATCACCTTTAGTATTCATCAACCTGAACAAATTCCTGTTAAGGTAGCCTTCTAAACACCTGCCAAACAAAAACATGGCATCAATCCATGAAATCCTTAACATTTAAACTGAGTCAGGTAGGGAGATGCAGACTTCCGGGTTGGGGCCCTCGAGACTCTAAGATTCAATGGCTGGAGACAATAGGTGACATGGCTCAAAATCGTTGTCAATGGCGCAGATGCATTCAGTCTCTGTAATCTTCCATATTCCTTTCTACCATTACTCACTCTGTTTCACTCTTATACTTGTGCGTCGGTGGCACAGTGGTTAGGACTCTCGCCGACCATGCACATGGTCCGAGGTTCGAGCCCCTGCCGGCACACACCCGATATCTATGGTCGGCCTGCAAAATTTGGGCTACCGATATCCATGCTGAAAATTCCATACTTGTACTGAAAAGACGGTGTGGCATCAAGCTGTAACCAAAATAAAAATAAAAAAAACTCTATTGATTTTCTTCACTCATCTTCTTGTCTACCTTTCTGTTCTATTTGGAACGTGGCAACTGGAACTGCTGCACTTCGGTGCCAAGTTCTATGTTGAATCCAGACAGACAGACCTGTCTCCGAGACGTAAGATGACATCAATGATTTCCTTAAATGATAACTGGACTAACTTATTGCTCATGTAGCGTGAAATATTTTTAGGCTTTGCTAATTTTTTGTCTTCAATTGGCATGCAGTGATACAGTATTGTTTACTGATGACATTCCAAACACAACCTGTTGCTAATTATCCTAATCAAGTACCCACATAATTAAAAATTTATTTCTAAGATTCCATTGATTCGTTTTTTTGATTTAGTTGGTAGCAGTATTTTCTGCATCTTTGTTGTCAAAGTTGTATCATCCCTAATAAACGTGTTAGGCGTTATTATTATTATTATTATTCACTTGAGCTCCTAATGGAACATAAAGCCCCAGCGACAAATCTCCATTTCACTTTGTCCCCTGCAGTTCTCATTAGCTGGCTCTACGACTCCCCATAAGCTTTCATTTCCTCCCCACCCAATATTTTCCATGTCATCCTCGGGTGTCTAAAACGTTTCCAACTTGGGTTTCACTAAAAGGTCACTCGCCCACCTGCCGACGGTCAATAGGGCTTTGAGTCTACAGAGCTTGTCCCTGAGTTTGTAGGTTTAAATCCCATCCTAATTCTTGCCGTATTACGAACCTTACGTAGGGCTTTAGATATCTCTTCATTACATGGTAAAACTTAATTCCTTAAATTCCTTATTGATATCATAGTTGATAGTTTCACTATCTTTTTTTATTGTGAACATTTCGAACTTCCTAAAGAATTTTATGAAACACCTATCACCAGTTTTAAAAAAATCTTTTTCACTTAATTATTCTGGTTTTCTGATGTACTGGCTGTGGCTTTAGGAGACTATCGATGGTGGCTTTTTGGCTTCCGTCGTTTTCAGTGCACACAGAGTGAAGAGGAAGTGAAGAGCCATCAAGTAGAGGAGTTGCATTAGTGAAAGGAAGGCAAGATAATAGAGATGAAGATGAAGACAAAGATGAGTGAGGATTAGAGAGGTTTCGCGTGCACTTCGGATTGTGGGGGCGATTGTTACTTCCCGGCTGCCCACACCGTGGAAGTTGGTTGCGTGACCGCAGAGCCCAGGGGACAACTTCTTGAGGCCGGTCACACACGGCCTGTTTTTGTTTGTTCTTTCTCGTTTGGTGTGTCTCAGTAGCATATTTATCACTTCTGCCCTGTGACACGGCAGCAGGAAGCGCGGTCGTTGTTAATCCGGGCCCCGACCGATCCGGCATGATATTGTGTGATTTACTTTGAACCATAGAATTGGATCGGGTAACTGTTTTTGTCTAACCGCTATCCAAACAACCTTTCTGGCATGGTAGGACCTCAAGCGACATAGGTCTCAGCCAGTATAGCTTGTTGGGTCATTGTGGTGTTCAAGCCCGACCACCACGTCAAGGTAGCAGCTTTCAGTCGGGTTTCTGATGTACTACTTAGACTTTTTTTTTTTTTTGGATACTTAGCCATGCCTGACTTTCCAGATAACCTATGAAATGACTTCAAGTTTAGTTATCTATCTATTTGTGCATTGGCTTCTTAAAACCACACGCATAATTTGCCTTCTCTTGTTCGTTTTATTTTACAACCTAACGTCATTAATTCTGTTTGTTCATTTTCCGACTCAAATGTAAACTAAATTCTCACTACTGTTGAGTTTATGTGTGGAGAAACTAGAAATATGTTCTGTTTTTAACATCGTAAGAGTGTCACACATATCTCCACCGTACAGTTGGAATAGTAAAAGTAGAAGACTAGTTCTCAATTTCTTGGAATTGTTAGTGAGTGTTTAGAATACTGTTGCTATTTGTCGTTCTAGGTTTTGAGCACTTTTTTTTACCTCTTGAAGGGTAAGGTGTCCGTGTTAATGCGCCTTTACTAAAGAATAACTGATTAGCAGTTGAGTTACTTCTGTGTTCCGCCCCCTGATAAACATGGACAGCTGTCTGCTGTAGCTTATCTCTATGTTTTCAACTGTCGCCACCCTTCGTTGTTAGTTTGTACTTAAGTCACCTTTGGAAATTATATTTCTGGAGGGTGTGTAAAAATGTGACTTTATGCGTTTTTTTATTTCTACGGAAGTTGCTCAGATATCATGGTTTTTTTTCTGATAATTAGATGCAGTATCTAACGCTATTCTTATCACAGACTGGAGATTGGATAAAATGTCAGGCAAACGTTAATTAGCCAATGCTCATTTTTGCTGATTCAGCCTTCTTTAAAAGTAAATAATACTATGTAGTTATGCATTTATTTCAAATTGAATACAAGTGGTAGAATAAGGTGAGCAATATTGAGGTTAGGCGTCGATTGCTAGGTAAGGAGGGGAAATCAATCGACGAGGCTGTGAAGCTACATCGACTGAGATGGTTAGGACATGTGTTACGTATGCCTAGTCATCGCCCTCCTCGACGGGCAATGGTAGCTGATATAGGGTCAGGCTGGAAAGGAGCTAGCGGCGGTCAAACGAAAACATGGCACCAGTCAATGAAATCTACAACAGTTAGTCTAGGCCACGTAGGAAGGTGTAGACTTCTTGACTGGTTGGAGTCCTCGGGATGGTAAAAACCAATGGTTGGAAACAATTGGTGACATGGCTCAAAGTGATCGTTGTCAATGGCTGGCGCAGATGCATCCACTCCTTGTGACTTATGATTTTCAATGAAACTGTTTTGTTCTTCGTTATTACTATTCCTTTGTCTCACACCTCTTTTTACTGTCTCTAATATGCATTTCATCTACTTTCTTCTCCTGCTTTGTTTGCTACAAGGAGTGAGTATGGCAACTTGAACTGCCGCACATATGTGCAAAGTTCTATGTCGAATACAGACAGACAGACAGACAAGCAACATGCAATAATTCCATAAATTTCACCCCCGATTAATCAACTCGTTGTTCAACATGTATAAATCATTATATGTACCATTGTGCAAATGTTGTACTCATTTGTATAATAGACCAGAACATTGAGTGGTGCTGAGTGACACAAGTGGACACTTCAGACAGGTTGCATTTAACCGGGCATAGGTCGAAAAAAAGTAATAAGTTGACAGTTAGGATTGACAAGAGTCGAAATAGATTATGTCTTTTCAGCAAGAATAATCATTGAATAGCTCGGATGCTTGGTAACAGTATACTACAACTAAGGAATCATCAGCCTTAGGTGAAAAAAAGATAATAGCCACAATGACAGTAGTTTTGATTTATGTGTAGAACGTGAATATCCTGGTAGTTTGTTGTTCCAGATTAATTTGTTTGAGATATGCTGCACAGTGTTATTTACTGAGTAGTGACATTTCATAAAATATTTGTTGTTTGTAATCATGTCAGTCGTAATTTTACAACCTTGAGACTTCGTCTTTACTACTTGTGTTTAAATTTTCAACTTGACTCGGAGGCTATAGACTTTTCCAGGTATCCAAAATAAACGTATGCATGTATTTCAGTTGATTCAGTAAATAGAACTGCACTTGTCAGTCTCTCCCTTCACTCTGCTATGTTAGAATTTAGAACTGTTATACTGTCCCATTCTTTTTTAGGATTGTGTGCAACTGTCTGAAGAGAACCCCCTGACCTTCCTCTAGATTTCCAGACTTATTAGGATCTGTTAGTCTCTTGATATCTGACTGACTGACTGGTTTCAACATTGCATCGATATGCAGCAGTTCGAGTCGCCACACTCCATGTAGCACACCAAGCAAGAGAAAAAAGTAAAAAGAAATGGAAAATAGGAACAGTAAACAGAGATATGATGCAAAAAGAATAGTAATATTGAAGAACCATATATAGGAAGCCAGTCTACACCTTCGTACGTGGCTTAAACTAACTATTGTGGATTTCATTGACTGATGAAGCCATGTTTTGGTTTGACCACCACTAGCTAACTCTTTTCCAACCTGATCCATCCTATGTCAGCTAACATTGCCCATCAAGGAAGGCGATGGCTAGACATACGTAATACATGTCCTAACGATCTCAATCGATGTAACTTCACAACCTTGTCGATTGGCTTCCCCTCCTTACCTAGCACTCGACCGATGCCTAACCTCAATATTGCTCACCTTATTATACCACCTAAGACATGGGCACCTATGATCAAAGACAGCTAGCTGGGCTTTTCATGTCTTCCACTCTCAATGGCCAAGTTTCACAGTCACTACTACTGAGCACTACACACGTCGTTTGGTTGACAGCCAGCCGAATATGACGTCTACTAAGTCAGAGATGACGTCAGTTGGCATATGTCAAACGAGCCTTCTGTATCCGTATCCATGCTGAGATTTTGTCAGTGATCAACCTGTTGGCACTGGCTGATGCAACTTCCCAAGTGAAAACATTGCGTCAGTCGACGAAATCTTTAAAAGTTGGTTTGAGTCAGTCACATAGGGAGGTATAGGCTGCTGTCTGGTAGGGGTCCTCGGGATGGTAAGGACCAATGGCTGGAGACTCGAAATAATTGTCAATGGCTCAGATGCATTCACTCTGTGATTTATCATATCTATCAGAACTCTATTATTCTTAATTATTACTCCTCTTCTTTCATCATACTTCTGTTTATTATCTCTCATTTGAATCTCTCTGTACTCTCTTCTCTTGCTTTGTGTGCTACAAGAAGGGAGTTTGGCAACTTGAACTGCTGCACATCTGTGCAAATCTCTACATTGAAACCAATCAGTCATTATGATAAGAGGTATGCACAGAGTTGTTGGGTAAACTTGCAATACACTCTCCGAACAATCCTAATATGATGAAAAATGCACAACTATATACAGTCTGGTTTTACACGTATTTAACATAATATTCGGCATTCGATCGAATGGATGCTGACTGAATGCTAGTCAGTTAATTTTTTAAAATTCTACTAGTTTATTCTTTTACGTTCCCAGTGGAATAGAGGGCTTCAAGCTAAAGCTATGAAGTTTCACTAGTCGTGGTATTTATTTTCACGGGATGAGGTTGCTAGCCTCATGCCCAACCTTTCCTCTTTACCAGTCTTATTACTGGCTTAGTGAGGTAAAGGAGTGCATCGGTGGCCGTTGATCGAACCCCGGACCAAGTGCATGGTCGGCGAGCGTCCTAACCGCTATGCCACCGACGCAGTCAGTTAATATTCATACATATTTTTTAATGCTATAGAAAAGTATTTGTATAAAGTTGCTTACACACACTCACATACAGTATGAATACCCGTCTAAATTTTTATTTGCTTTTCTATATTTTATCCTAGATGTTTTGTCTGCAATTGATAATTCCACTACTATTTATGCCTAAACCGTCCAATCCAGCCGCAGATATTCATCATACAATCTATATCCTCTTATTTCTTATCTGTTTTTTTCTGGAACGAAAACCATGCGGTATCTGTGCTATTATCTTGTTTATATTCATTATCCTTCCATGTTATAATTCCCTGGATAATTTGTGCATTTTCACTACATGCAGTAAAGATCGAAGTTTGGCGTAATCAGATCTGCTAATATATTTAATTATTTATTTATTTATTTGCTTCACAATTTTAAACCTGATTTTGTTTCTCTTTTGTATAGTTTATTTTACCCCACTATGATCGATCATTTTGTCTCGTCCCCCCCAACCGACCCACTGACTTCCAACCCCGACCCCCTCGCAACAAAATACTTTGTAAATAGTTTTTATTTTCCAAATGATCTCACTTGATTTTATCCTCCTCCACTTTGATGAAAGTGTCTTCTTTTTTATCATTCATTCTTCATTTTCAAATGTTCAGATTTTGTGAAATTTATCACAACAACAACAACAACACAGCAACAACATTATAATGCTTTGCTGTGAGAATGCCGAGTGATGAGTGTACATTTTGTGTTGATCTATCAGTGTTGATTTGGATAGATTGACCGTCCGTCAACCAGAAAGCTATTCATGTAAATACTGTTCCATCTGGCATTCTAAATGATTATCCTTTGTGTGCGGCATTTTTTGTCTTTGTTATTTTTTGGTGGCACTACTCAAGCAATTAATAAAATGTTTTATTGTTTACCAGCACTGGGATATATAGACTATATCTGAGTGTTTGTTAACAAACCATATATATATATATATATATGCGTTCATTTACTTAATATTATTGACTCTTCACTTTCAACATTCTTCAAGCTTCTTCAAGTTCAACTACCTTAAGCTTACTTGCACTCACAATCTCTGAAATTTAAACTGGGCAACTGTGATACCTTAATTACTTTCGTTATTAATAAATGATAAAACTTATGTGGTTTTGTTGCTTGTTCAGATTTTGGTAATGTGAAACAGGCGTTAAGCATCTAACTGCCTGGTTGGAAGTCACACCTTGATGATAGGAGAAGCAGATATGTGTACCTAAGCTGTGTTTGTAAACAGTTCTCAAAAGTCAGAGTAATATGATGTGCTTATGTGAACAGGCGTCAGTGGGGTGTTTTTATCATTTGAAGATTACATTATCACTAAACAAAGTTAATTCAGGTACTATTTATAGTTCTTTTTTTTATGAAACCTGTAAGAAATCGATGTGTGAAAGTCGGATTAAATGATGTGTGTAAAACTTCGGCACTGTGGTAGTAAGTAATTCCATATTAGTTTGTTTATTAGATATATCACACAGTCAGTGAAACAGTATTATTTACTGGATGACAAGGTTTCGAACAAAATTTATTGTGGTTCTTAATCATATCAATTGTAATCACACGACTTTGAAACTTGAGTTTTATAGTTTTCTTTGTCCTCTCCTATTTGTCGTGGGGGTAGTAGAATTTTCCAGATATCGGGGACAGGTGATGAATCATTCCTATTACATGTATTTGTAGTTGATTCGATAAACAAAGCTTCTGTTATAGATAGGTTTTTCGAACATCAACTCGAAGGTTGAAGCAATTCAATTCACTTATGAACTGGAAAATCAGGAAGAGGAGCTCCCAATGTTAGACTGCAGTGTAAAAAGGAAAGAAGATGGGAAGGTAAACACTAGTGTTTACAGGAAACCCACACACTCAAACAGATATTTGGACTTCCGATCATCCCATCCTATGTCAGTAAAAATAGGATTGGTGAAATGTTTAAATGACAGAGCACAAAAACTAAGTAGTACTAAAGAAAATCTAAAATAGGAATTGATACACATAAAAGAAGCCTTGAAACTTAATAATTACCCGGATAAATTAGTCAGGAAATATGTAAGGAAATGTAAAAATAAAATAAATAATGATAGTAGCGATATTGATAATAACAATAATAGTGATAATAATAATATTAATGATGACACCAACAACAAGGAATCTAAATCATCACTAGTAATTCCATACAAGGAGGGAACCTCGGAAACCTTATGCAGAATTTTTAACAAGGCAGGAATGAAAGTGGTTGGGCATTCAAACCCACAAACTCAATTAGAAACAAGCTTTGTCGGTTAAAGGATCAATCCCTTGGAGCCTTTAAAACAATACAATTTAGTCTATCTAATATCCTGCTGGAATGATTGTCAGGTCAAATACATAGGTCAAACTAGTAGAACAGGGGCAGTCAGACTAGCTGAACATAAAAACTTAGCAGCAAAATCTAGATTGGTTGACCCGAATAAGATAAGAAATCTAGAGAATAGTTCAGCTACAGCACTCACTAAACGTGCAATTACACACAACCATACAATAGGATGGATGGGATAAGATGACAGTTTTAATATTTAATGTAACACGGTGGAGGGTGAGATTGATAACAGAAGCTTTGTTTATCGAATCAACTGAGAGAGAATACGTGTAGTAGGAATGATTCAACACCTGTCCCCGATATCTGGAAAATTTTACTACCCCCACGACAAATAGGAGGGGACAAAGAAAACTATAAAACTCAAGTTTCAAAGTCGTGTGATTACAATTGATATGATTATGAACAATAAATTTTGTTCGAAACGTCATCCAGTAAATAATACTGTTTCACTCACTGTGTGATATATCTAATAAACAAACTGATATGGAATCGGATTAAATGAGTTCCACTGAAGAAACATTATCGTAGTAGATTCACACTGTTTTATCATATATGTGAATTAACTATTGTCCTATAAATTACAGATAATGTTACTTTATGTATTGTACAGCGTGTGATCAGAACCGATAATCCGTGATAATCATCATAGGCAGTTTTATATTTTCTTTGACTTTCTTATAATTGATACTGAAACTGTGTATCTATCTGTCCGTGGGTTGGCAGAACCCAGTTGATGTGCACAGGTGATGATTGAAGTTGAAGCAAGAATCTGGGTCGTGGCAGTCTGTGAATTAGTATCCTGCTGGTCATGACTTTCCACTAGAAATACTTGCAACTGTATTGTGTAGTCAGTGGGCACATAGACTGGACTGGACTAGTTTCAACATAGAACTTTGCACAGATGTGCAGCAGTTCGAGTCGCCACACTTCACTCTGCACACACAAAGCAAGAGAAGTAAAAAGAAATGCAAAACAGAGACAGAAAAGAGAGATAAGAGGCAAGAAGAATAGTAATATGGAAGAACAATATAGTTTTATTGGGTATTATAAGTCACAAGGAGTGGATGAATCTGCGCCAGTCATTGAGAACGACTTTGAGCCATATCACCAATTGTCTCCAGGCTTCATTAGTTTTTACTGTCCCGAGGATCCCATCCTGGAAGTCAAGCAGTCTACACCTCCCGATGTGGCGGCAGGCTTAAACTAACCTTAATATTTCCCACCGTATTATACCATCTAACACGGGGGATAGAATGCAGGTACCTATAGTCAGCCTTTTCATGTCTTCCACTTTCAGTGGCCTTGTCTAACAGCCGTAAAGGAGGATGGGGTGAACTGCTGAGCAGTATACATAACCTTTGTTCGATAGCAAGCCGGATATGACGTCTACGCGAGAGACGGTGTAAACTGGCATATGCGAAACGAGCCTTCTGTATCCGTATCCGTGCTAAGATTTCGTCAGTGACCAACTCGTCGGCACTGACTGATGCGAATTCCTGAATAAGTGAAGCAGTTTACGTGCTCTACCGCTTCACTCCCTATTTCTGAGTTAGGAGTCAGTATTGTCCAGTCCTGTAACATCATCTTACATTTGGCGGGAGCGAATCGCACGCCAAACATTCGTAGGTTGCAGCTCAAGAATAGTGAGTAAGATGTTTATTTTTTTTAGGTGGTAACAGTCCAATCCTGTAACATCATCTTACATTAGTCAAAGGGGACAAATCGCATGCCAAACATTCGAAAATTCCTCCTACTCCAGAAGATCAGAAAACTCTGCATCATGTCAGCGTCCCCACCTAGAATGACGATATCATTCACATGCGTATTCTAAGTCGACTAGATTATTCCCTGATGGTAACAAGTCAATCCCTGAGTCGCTGAAGTCACTTAAGGTTAAGTTCATTAGTACATCTATGATGAAATTGAACAGATATGGGGACAATGGGTAGGGCATCCATGACGGAAACCAATGGTTGTCACCACTTCAGATGACGACTCTGCGTAGGCTCTCACCTGGCTGCATGAGTTCGAGTAGAGAGACTTCATCAATGCAACGTATATCCATCGGTACCTGTTTCATAGCCAAACATCTCCAGAGTACCTCTCGGTCGATGGGATCGAATGCCGCTTCCAGGTCAAGAAATATGACGACTTTGGCGCGTCATAAAGAGCATCTCAAACAAACTATAGACCTTCATTAACAGTTGTCTCCGCTCAATACTACTCAAGATCAGATGGCCGGCCAGAAAAAATCTGCAACAAAGATCTCAGGCAATGAGCGAACCAACCAGGAACCGATTGTGAACAAATAGGCAGGAAGAAATGGAGATGGATTGACCATACTCTGAGGAAACCATCAAGTGACATCACTAGACAAACCCTTGAGTGGAACCCGAAAGGAAAGTGGCTAGTTGGTCGTCGGTGCAAGAGTGAGGGTGACTTGGATGAGGTCATGTGAAGAGGAGATGAAAGTGTGTGGGCCGACTTGGAGCCAGGTGAAGACTCTAGCCGAGAACCGAACGCAATGGAGACGCACGGCTTAAGCCCTATGTTCCCTCTAGGAATTAAAGGAAACAATAATAATAATGATAATAATAATATTAATAATAATAATAATTGACGCCAATAAATATGCCTATGTTCCAGAATCTGTCGGAAGGTGGAGATATGATCAATGCACCCTTTTCTTGGTCTGAAGCCTTCCTGATTCTCGCGTGTTTGTTCCTCCCGAGAACCACTTAGTCTACGCGTGATTATTGTGCCCAGGACTTTAGATATCATATTAATTAAGCTAGTCCTCCTGTGATTATCCCAGGAAGACTTGTTTCCCTTCTTGTATATGGGGATAATGAATGACTTACATGAACCAGACGGGACTTCCTCTGATACCTAGACCCGGCTCAATACCTTAGTTAACGCAGACAGTAAACTGTCTCCACCGTACCTATATTCCCCTTGAAGTTTTTCAATCGG